AGAATAATCTATATTGAGATTGAAAGCAACCTTAATGAAAATATGAGAAGTGAACAAGTGAACAAAAGCAAGGTTTTTGCAACAATATTCTATAGCAGACCACATCTTTATAGGTGCACAGTCAGCTTCGAGGTTGTTGTTGTTCATCCTTCATTCTCAAAGAGGACCGATGATGGCACCAGGGTGACATCTTGACATACTTGGATTTAAATGAGGCAGAGCTGGACAAAGTCATCAGCCTCACTCTCTCCTCCACAGTCATCTGAGTCCAATGACAAGACATAAGTCAAGACAACTTGGGATGACCCAGCGCTTCAAGGCACAAAGTAAACAAGATGGCATTGTGTTTATCATTTGTTCATTTTTAAAAATCATTTGATTCAGTAGAGCAAAATGTTCCTTATAGGCTCCAATATGGCACTTGACATTTGAATGAATGAATGAATGAATTCAAGAACCACTAATTCCTTGAAAGGTGCAACACCAAAGACAACTTCATTCAGTTAATTAATATCAAGTATGGCAGGGAGATGTGCTCACCCATGATATTTGCAACTGTAATGGAAACGGTCAAACATAGCCCAAATTAGAAAAATAAAAATATTCCCTAGAGATGCTGAAGTCCTCTTGATTCTTCCATTTCTGGACGACATCCTGCTGATTGTTACATTGAGTGCCGCTACACTGTAGAGTAGCCGATATGAGATCCAAAGTCATTCAAAAGAACTTGACCTAACATTCACACAGGAAAAACTAAGTGGTTAATGACTATTACCCAGACTAAGATATGCTATTAGATGGAAAAGTCCAAGAGTTGGCTGGTCCATTTGCACATATATCTTAGAGAGACATTGCAAATATATAACAAACTGGGCCCAGAATTGATTGAAGGAAGAGAGCAAGCTGGATGGAAGTCAGGAAATTGCCGGGTGACTTCAAATACCCCAAGCCTCTCCTGAAAATAAATCCCACATTTTTAACACCAATGTGTCAACAAGTTTCCTCAAAGGTGACTGAATTTGAATTGGGTCTTGAAGGATGGATATAAAGTCACTTTGCTGTTGTTGTTGTTGTTGTTGTTGTTGTTGTTTTTCAGTCTTGCCTGACTCTTTGTGACCCCATTTGGGGTTTTCTTGGAAAAGATACTGCAGTGGTTTGCCATTTCCTTCTCCAGCTCATTTTACCCATGAGGAAACTGAGGCCAACAGGGGTAAGTGATTTCCCCAGGACCATACAGCTAGTAAGTCTCTGAGGCCACATTTGAGCTCAGGAAGAGGGGTCTTCCTTACTTCAGGCCCGGTGCTCTATCTACCTCACTACCTAGTTTGCCCCCAAAAATTCACAAGGCAAGGATTATAAAGAAAACTGGTTCGGATATGTGTCTGAGGTCTCTCACAGCTCCAAAAGTTTGGAAGGCAGAGAGACGGGCAACACTGCCAATAAGTACATTTATTATCTGAGGTTAACTATCAGAGAAGACATTACCTACTTGCTCTCTGAGCAAGCCCCTGCTTTTGGCAGGTACAAGCTCTGTATCTCCTTAGGTTCACAGGTTTAAATACTTGAAAACACCTTAGAAACCCTCTTGTCCAATTATTTTATAGAGGAACAGTCTGAGGTTCAGAGAGGTCAAGTCACTTGCCTGGGGTTACATATCTAGTCCTGAACCCAGGACTTCTGACTCCTGGTCATGTGCTTTTTCAATCCAGGTTTTGCTTCCAAAATCTTTTTTCCAAGACCCCTTGGCTGCTACTCACTCAATCTCTCTCTCTCTCTCTCTCTCTCTCTCTCTCTCTCTCTCTCTCTCT